AATAATAATAATAATAATAATAATAATAATAATGCGAGAACAACTCTTGTCATAATGTCATGTTTGGACAAACTATTAGCAAATGTTCTTCATCTTCTACTTTGTGCGTATCACAATGTAGACAAATTTGATCTTGTAATGTTGTTTTGGTGTGTGTGTATCTGCCTGTTTCTATACCATTGTCATGATTACTTATCCTGAATTTGGTTAGACGGATTCTTTGTTTAGTATTTATAACAGTCGATGGATAGTGTTCATAACAAAACGTTAGCTTAAATTTTGAGTATAAACGTACTAGTAATTTGCTATCATCTTTCATAATGTTTGATCGCCAATGATTTTTGTTCATTTGAGATTTCATTTTGTTAATCAAATTTTTGGAGTTAGCGAATGACATAAATTTAGTTTTCGAATTCCCTGTAATAAAGAGCTTGCTGCGTTGGACCCGAATTCATCTAATATTCCTTCAAATATTGTATCAATGAATCAGTTGTCGGCAGCACTATCGATAATGGTCGGCAGCACTGTTGATAGTGGTCGGCAGCACTATCGATAATGGTCGGCAGCATTATCGATAATGGTCGGCAGCACTGTTGATAGCGGTCGGCAGCACTATCGATAATGGTCGGCAGCACTGTCGATAATGGTCGGCAGCACTGTTGATGGTCGACATATCTGCAGTTCCGTAGCTCGCTGGTTTCGCTGTCGGTTATTTCGTTCGTCGTGGTGTTAACGCGAAACCAGTTAGCTACAGTTCCATCTTATGCGAGTTACCCTATTTTACCGACCTGAGTGTTGATACCACCACCGATGTGAATGTAAAATTCCTTCCTTTTTATGCAGAAGAATACAGTATTTTTACCAAGTAAAATCATAATGTATTAACTTATTGTTCATACACGAGTTGTTGAACACACTGATTCAACATAGACAAATAAAAGACAAAAATATAGAGAATATAGAAAATTATCTTTTTTCTGTAATTTTCTTGTGTAATCGGTAATTATGAACATTATTTATGGGTGCATACGGAATACATTTCGTTATGAATTATTCTTAATATAAATGTATGAATTATCTGCATCGTACTGCATCGTAGCATGCGCAGTCGCACAGAGCGGGGCGACGATGACATAACGGTTCCACTGTAATGCCTGCAAGCTAGCCCCATGCTCAGATCAGTTTTCCAGTCAGCCATAGAGACAATGCTAAAGACGTTGCTTAATTCCCTGATACCTGCGCGTGTCGGGAATTTAGAGATAAATCAGCCAGGTACTAACTAACACACGTAACGCCATAACCATTGATTCCAATCCATGGCTCATTTTACTACATATTAAAGACTTCAAATAAGTTTAATAGATGATACATCTTTAACCTCTCAAGTCAGTGGCATACAATGGAATAAATTATATCACCAGTACCATAAATTTACATCCCAGACCATTGATACTACACAACGCATCAATTACCAGGGCTTCAATTTACAATGTTGTGCAATGGAACGCATTGGTGGTTGGATTTTAACCAGTGCAGCAAGTTTTATAAGACAGGATGTACCCATTTCTTGGTTATTATTGTCAGTAATATGTATTTTTCAAAGAAAAATAACATTCAAATTATAAGTTTAATAAACAAAGCAAACTCTGTATACAGATAAAATATTAAAATATTTTAGTGCCTATTTAATAAATAACAGGCGGATGAACGCGTGCTATTTTTTTGAAGTCTTAAAGCGGGGAGTAGTCACCTGCGCATGCGTCAGATGGCCATAGCGTGTCATTGTTTACAAACAAGCGTCTGCCCATGAGCCTTTGCGTTCTTAGCGTGTGTTGTTATCATCGCTTGGGACTCAATTCGTTGTTGTTGATATTAAATATACCTGTGGGTGTCCCTGTTAAGAAAACAACTTGCGGACAACGTTGTCACAGATCGTGAGCTATTTCGATCGGTAATCCAAGATTTGTTATCAGACATTCGCATGCATGCGCATGCTAGTTGACAGAAATGTAAACATATGACGTCACAGTGTAAGGACCTCTATTTTTGGATAATAAACCATCGACGCAAATGCCCGCCAACATCTCGTTATTAGCGAGAGACTTTCGATATTTTGCCAAAACAAGGCTCAAATGGCCGTCAATTGCATCGTCCGCCTGCACGGCGCGGTGTTGCTCCGTTCGAACAGTCCTCCCTCCACAACACCGTGCGGTAATATTCTATTCATAACCGTGTATGTCACGTGGTTGCGCGATAAAAAGTTTACCGACCAATAGAAAGCTTTGTTACAATGACTACCAAAAAGCGCTTGGGGCTTTTCATTTCTGACGTCTTCATCATCTTCGGCTTCGTTTCTGTCAATATATGTTGCAGCGACACCATGAGCTTTGAGGTATAACACCTACTCTTCTCAACACTATTACCACGCTCGATGGTCGCAAGGCTGGTAAAGCATAATAACATAAATGATTTACCATTTCCAGTGCGACTAAAAACGAACACATCAGACTCGGAACTAAGTACCCTGAACGGCTTTTGTCCGAATATTGTATTGCCTCGACATCCACTGCAAGCCAACACAGCTTCCACTGTGCGAGCAGTTTCACCGCCTGGCAACCATCATGGTGAAAATAAAGGCCAAAATCTCTCAGAAAACGGTACTTTGGGGTGGTTGTTGACACCCACTGAACCGTGTAACAAGATTACCCCCTGCTTATGCAACATATTTAAATTTGGTTGTTTAAGATTTCTTCAAAGTTAAGTTTGTGCTGTTTTTTCGATTTTAGCTATTTTCAACGGCTTTTCGACCGGCGTTCCACAGCAGCTCGCGCAGAGCCCATAGAAATACATGGCAGAGTGGTGCGCGTCTTTAAAGCGCCCCGACAATGTTGATAGCTTGGCCAAGCGCGTTGATGAAAAAAGCAATATGATTGGCTGTTGGTAAACTGATTCCTAACTGTGAGGGCATTGTCACATACACATATTCCTAATGAAATATTTCAAGGTGATAGTGGAGTGCTTCGCCGGAACATTCACCTTGAAAATTCAAGATGGTCAATTGCCACATCTCGTTCTTAGCGAGAGACCTTCGATAGTTTTTGCCAAAACAAGATTCAAATGGCCGTCAATTGCCACATCTCGTTCATAACGACAGACCTTCAATATTTTTGCCAAAACAATTCGCGCTCTCGGCGAAACACTTATACGACTACGCGACTGTTGATGCAAGGATTGCTAGTAGTAGTGTGTATTATTCGTGTAACACACGATGTAACTGTGTCCAATAATGCTCTCAGTGTTGGGTATAACGTTTGCCGTTTAATGCAGTGTTCACACTGCACTAGCTTTTATCCTGGATTACCTTTCAGACCTTTATTAGTAAACGCAATATGGTTAGTTTACCGACACTAATTACAGTCCTACTAATTGCGAACTGTGGTATTGATTTAACGCTACAATCCAAACACCCACAATGCGTCCTCATTCTGTAATTTTTATATTTGTGGATTTTCTCATATTGTCTTTTCACTTTTTTTTACACAATGCTCTACGCATCACTGAGAATTGATGATACTGTGATTTCTTCGGCTCCCGTGAAGATGAAATATCGATGGGGGTGGTGGATTGACGAACATTTCAACGACTGAAGGCAGTATTGCATTAGCTAACTAAATACGTAACAGATGTAGAATTCCGTGTTAAAATAGTTTTCAGGTGTGATCCTGATAGAAGTAAACACGGAAACAATAATGGAATACAAAACTGAGTACGAAGAAAGCCTATGTCGATACAAGTCACAGAAACACAATATCACGTATGTTTACCTGAAAGCGCCATAGCAAGGCTGAGCTCCTCTTTTAATATTTATAGGACTTGGTGTACGCCATCAACCCCATGCAATTAATTTAGCATAACTACACGTACAATGTAGAGGCTTGCAGTGTAGATTCATTTCAGATTTCTTTTGGCGTCATTATGACACGTGTGCAGCAGCTGGTTCATTCGAGCAGCATAAAACTGCCACCTGTGTCGTTGTTTCAAATGAAACTCTAGAAACTATTGATTGATGATAATTCCTGATTTACATCTAAAAGTGTCAGTCAAGCGACACATCGGCGGTGCATTTTTACAGTCTTGTCTTGCAACTGTGATGTCAAATCTCAAATCACAAATATAGATAGCGAAATCACAAAAGTGTACTGAACTAACCAATACATGAGAGTAATCCGTCATTTTATTTTAATAAAAAATGAATCATTATGTTAAAGTGTTGCCGTGAAAATGTTTACCTAAAATGATAAATACATGTACAACCAGAAGTTATCAAAGTGTGCATTTCTGTGTATGGTTTAATTGTGTGGTACGAACTTGAATAAATCCTAGATAGTCTAAATACACACGTAATTAGATTTTAATCGGAACTTATGCGCTATTCAATTTAGCTTAGTGTTAAATGCACATATTCACACTCACTGGGACTGTTAATGGCCAATGTACCAAACCTTGTATGTCTACATCGTGTGTCGGGTGACATGTTGGACAGGTGATAATTCTGCAGTTTGGAGAGTGCTTCAACATGATATGGTTACCATAGTGATAATGCAACACTTTCGATCTCGATTTTTATTTAACACAGCTTGGTGAATGTCTGTACATATTAACTGTTCGGGAACAACAAAATCACCTTAGCAACGGCACTAAGAAGACGTCACCTTGTATGCGTGGTCAGTTCTGCCATGTTATTGTTTGGCATAACTATGTCCTTTGTTTAAGATAAGCTGTACAGTAGAATCTGGGAGAATGC